TATGTAATGAAATATGTTTTATCTGAATTCATCAAAGCTGTTCCCCCCATATGGGCAGATTGTTGCCTATTAGATGATTGATTTCTTCTCCACTCATCAGGGCTACTTCCTGTTTGCTTCAACCACAAGCAGAGTTAATGTTAGTGTGATCAGAGGAAAGTTCATAGGAGATGAAATATAGGAGGTGTGCAGGTAGTATATGTGTGTTGTATTGTTGTATTCAGAGTAATGCTGAATGTAATAGTTGATGTTAAACTTGATCCTGGCGGCTTCGTGAGTGCTCGACAATAAGTTCAGCATTTCCTGAACAAGCTTGTGCAGTGAAATTTGCGCACCACTTTTATTTACGGCCGTTGGAGATGGGGAGTCCATGAAGATGTCAAAATAACTTTGAATGAAAAGCAACACTGACACTAACCTCTGGTGCATCCAGTACCTCCTCATAACTCTCTTTTATGGGCCACACTGTTACCTTTTCCCACGAGAACCCTAAACACGCTCATCAAGGAAAGAAACGGGGAGAGTAAGGCAGCAAAGTAAAGAGATCTAGAAACAAAAAAGGGGGAAAAGACTGGGAGTAATTTCAATAAAATATAAAAGAAAAAATCCGAAAAGGCGAGCACTTGCTATATTTTTGTTTTTGAGTCAATCTTGCTGAGTCACTGGAGGTTTATAAAGGGAGAGGAGAAAGATGAAGAACTGGTTGTGGTTCTGAAAACATAATTCAGATGTTTCAGAAAGACAAATACATGTATTAGAAGACAAAGCGACTGACATTGACATTTCTTTTCGCTTTTTTTGTTATTTGGAGTGTAACTTAACTCTAAGTTGGTATTTTTTTTTTTCCTAATACTCCAGTTTTCTCAAAACAAGTAGAAAAATCTGTCAGTGGAGTGAAATAATTTTAACATTTCCAATACAAATCAACTCTTTCCTTAAATTTTGTAGAAACAAGGGTAATTTGTCTGTAATTTAGAGCAGTGATCTGCCTTCTTTTGTTTTGTTTCAAGATTTTGGCGCACACCAAACTGATCTTGTATTGGAAAGAGGCTGAAACTATCTTACTGAACTGACAGATTTATTTCTCTTGTTTTAAAGAAGAAAAAAAAAGTTGTATTTATTGGAAATACAAATGTATTTTTTCACACAAGAATTATTAATCAGAATGTCGACGTTAAAGAATGTGAAATTTATATCCACTAGCTACATCACATAGCGAGCAGTGGCAGAGTAACAGAAGAAACAGCCAAAAGTGATGCACTGTGTGTAGTGCTGACCTTTCCATCAACAAAGCTTCCTGACTTGGGTCAATAGGTAGAGGTCAAAGTAGAGGGGGCAGACCTGTGTAATTAGCCTGGACATGGAAAACCTGCACTAAATCAGAATAACGTCCCATGTATTAGACTATCCATAAATTGTGGAGTGTTCGATTCATTCACGTCAGTGGGTAACGTGTTCACTGTGATTAATGGTAACAATAAGTATGTGTGGCAGCTTTTACAATCCAGGTGGCCTCAGTGAGAATCAAAGCTCCAACTATAGTCAAGTTGGCACCGTTCATTACTAATTGAGCTGCGCACCACCACAAGTCTGTGGTGCAACTGCAAACACATGTCCATTTCTTTCATTGCTTTATTCATTTGTTTGTAAACACGATGTGACAGTCTGTGGAAAACACGGAGGAAAGAAAACAAGGACAGTTTTGTTGCTTATGGTCAGTGGCAGGATCAATGCTAATCACGTGACAGCCCAGCAGGATTTCCATATTTAGACTCGGAGCGCCTCATCTTGAAGGACTTATGATGTGAGATGGATAGATGGGCACTGATCACACAAACACAAATAGACAAACACTGGCACGCACTAGCGAGCACAGATTCACAACTCAGGCACTAAACCTAAACTCGGAGTGACGCGCCGCCCGCAGCTTTGACAAGATGATTAGAATGGCTCGGCTGTGAGGAGAACCTCGACCCCAGAGCCGGACCTAAAACTTCTTCATCACCTCTGACACCATCTAATGACACTCATTTGCAATCTGACCTCCTGAACATTACCAGACTACTAGACCATGACAACCACACTAATAACTGCTCCCTCACTTTTTTTTCCTTCAATTTATTGCTTTCCTAAAACATTTCTGACAATGAGCTGTTTAGCCACATTCTACATATGCAACTCCTGAGTTCGCTTTGACACACTGGAGCAATTCCAGCACCCTGCAGTATGAAGGTATAGAATATGGATATTGCAAGCTAGCTATGCTTTATCTCAAAAGAGCCATGTGTCTCTGATAAGCACATAAAGGCCTGAAACCTGCATCAGAGGACTAATTTACCCAAAAATCTGTGCAGTTGTTTCCGTTGTAACACTCTTAATCCTATACAGGATAAATGACCAATGGTTGTAATCTGTAGCATATAAGAATAATCCAAAAAGCGCATTGAAAACTAAGACATTTACAAACACATTAGGCGCCTGAGCAGGAATGGTCATGCAGGGAAAAAAAAACATGATGTCAAATACCACATCAGTGTTCTCAGTTAGGGGAGGAGAATTTAATTATGTTCTGGTTGGTTTAGTTTGAAGGGTAGAATTTGTTCTCTGCTGATTTTAAAGCGCATGCAAAATAGCAGGAGGTGGCGCATTAGTATACGCATACAAACTGCTGTACATGCAAGCTTGTGCACAGATGCAGACACTACAAATGCAGGACATGGGCTATAGTGCGATGGTGTGCGGACACACATGATTTAATCATTGTTTCATCAGAGTTTGGCTCTGATGAAACAATGACAAAATATCACCAAATTTCCTCCCATCTTTTAATCTGACACATGTTTTACATCTGCACTTGCTGTCAGGTAGATGCAGCTTGATGAAATGTCTGCTAAACATGCTGCCAGGCTAAACTATGGCCTGAAAGGTTTGGCTTCCATGGCCAAGTCCTCATATTTAAGATATTTTTTTTTTCCTCTAGAAAGTTCTTACCTATTTCCCACAACAATCACGTGGCCAGAGCTGTTGAAATTGATGGATTGTGCCTCTAATGCCATGACCTGATGCCATTATAGTTAGTGACACGTTGCACCCTAATGGTTGAACTCTTTATATGCATGTGTGTAAAAGTGTGCGCGCATGTGTGTGTGTGTGTGTGTGTGTGTGTCAGAGAGGACTGCAGGCAAGGGGAGGGAGGAAGAGACGCTAATTGAAATTCCTTCAGCCATGTCTGGCAGAGCCTTGGTGTCTGAGTGGCACACACACACACACACACACACACACACACACACATACACATATTCACACTGGCCCTGGCCCTAATAAAAGTGGGCTTTGCCATATGGAGGCCATGTGCAAGACTGGCCTCTCTGTGCTCAAGCGTGTGTGTGCGTGCGTGTGTGTGCATGCTCTCAGCAGGAGAGGCTTGTACAGCACCACAGACCCACAGACAGATGCATACAAACCTATGACATGTGTATGAAGGTGTGTGAGTGATAAAGATCCATTTATGAAGATTACATTCCCAGACGCTCATGCAAATTAAAACACATGCAGTAGACATAATGCAGCAGGAGCCTGTTGTATAATCTGAAAGAAATTAGTTTGTGTTTTGGACGTCACCCATCTCATTCTGTGAACTGGGAAACTCTGGGCAGGTAAATGTGGGAGTAATGTTCTGTTCTCCCTCAACAACTACTGTCAACGTGCCCTTAGGCGATGCAGCTACTCTGAGCTGCTCTGAGGCCAGAGGACTGTGGCAGTCCTGGAGAACTTCCAGATGTGTTTAACTAGAAGATAAAGATGTGGACTACAGAATGATAACAGCTGATTTTCTGTTCTGGATCAGTCATAAATGATTACGATGACCCTTACAAGCCCTTAAACATATTTGCCAGTTGTTTGCGAGTGTACAGATTGGATTCTTTGTTGAGGTTTGCATGCTATCATGCAGCATGCTCCACAAATTTATATTGATGCATGTTCAAAATCTGCATTATAAGTCCATATGCCTTATAAAAGATTTTGCAAAATGTGTGCTTGTTGCATCCATTCATGCAGACATATTTTTCTCTCCCTCAAAAACTACAGTTCAGGTAGGTCCAGGTGCTTTAAAGGTACCAGTAGAGTCTCTAAGTACTCAGCGGTGGAAGACTAAGCTGGGAGTCTACCCAGTGTGAAAGAGTGTAACTGTGTGAATGTAAGGCTGAGTGGTGCTGACAAAAGAGCATGTGTACTAAGTGACCTTTCTCAGGATAAATAAAGGTTAAAATCATATTTCACAGCCCGCAAAATGCACGACCAGAAAAAGGAGCCGGAATCGCATGCTTATTACTTTACATCTGAGTCCGTATAACCTCACACTTAGCATATGCCCACTGCTATTATAGCTGCAGCACAATAGCAGCAAGGAGTAAGTCTACTTGTCATTCTCCCCAGGGGTTTGGTAATAGCTGTGTTTTAGATATTTCCTCAAAGAGGAAGAACCTTCTCTGGGCAATTTCTAATTGGTTCCAGTAGATCATCTCTCTTTTTTTTTATCTGCCTGGCTTACTCATTTTGTTTTCTCCTCTCCTCTCCTCTCCCACTCTCCTACTGTCATGCTGCCTTTTCCCAAACTCTGTAGTCTGGCAAATATGCCTGCTTCTACACATGGTGTAAAGGCTGAAAAGCACGCAGCTCTGTTTTTTGTTCTTTTGCCCAGTCACCTGTCTTAATGTGCACGGTTGCCTAGGTGGGCAAAACAGAAACATTACTCTCCACAGATTAACACATGAGCCGGGATGGGAGGCTGAGGTGTGTTTTCCTTTACAGATATGGGTATAAAGATATTTAAACCCAGTAGCGTGGACTTCCCTTTGCGTTTAACTGCTCTCCTAACAATTTTTAGTGCAACTAGATACCCAGTAATAGCCTGCTTTCTTGTTCTCATAAATTGCTGCGCTTTTTTAAATTTGTAGAACAAATGAAACACATTTAAACACATAACAAGGTTGACTTACTGTATGGATCGTCCTCACTTTTGGTGCCATTAACTGTTCCTTTCTTGTCAATGCGAAGGAAGAATTTCTGGTAGGAGAACAGTTTCCTCTGGCGCACATCTCCTTGTAGATGGTTGTAGCTGCTCCGCACGTGGCGCCCGACGACTGTCGCGGAGGACGATGATACGTTGGTCGCCCGTGGCAACCTCGCAGAGGATGCGTGCAGAGGTGCGGGCGATGAGGAAGGTGACGGGTGTGGGACGAAGAACTGAGGAGGCGTCCCTCCCGGTGCATTCTGGTTCTTTCCAGAGTCTGACGGCGATGATGAAGCGGACAGGGGCGAGGAAGAGGAGGGTCCGAGCAGGAGAAGCAGGAGAAGGAAGGTGAGGGAGAGAAGGAGTGAAGGAGGTCTGCGGCAGGGGCAGGAGGAGAACCAGGCGACCGGTGCACCTTGTGTCACTGTCCATCTACACATGGTAGTGGAGCTGGGAGAGCTGTGGAGGTGCTCAGGGGCTGGGGCATGCTGAGCTGGGTGCGGGGAGAGGGAAAGAGAGTGGGAGAAACTCCCCCGACCGACCGACTACACCTCCTCTGTTTGGGGACCCACAACCTCACCGGGACTGTGGTATGAAAACCTGTGGAACGGCTGGGTCGGAGACTGACAAGGCTGTGGCAGATGTGATCAGAGATTCTTGGTAGCAGATGTAGAGTTGTCAGTAATGTTAATGGTGATGGATGCTGTTGCTGGTGGTGGGGAAGCCCGCAGTGTTGTGGCTGACTCTGCTGTGGTCCCCGGTGCTGGTTATTCCTCAGAAGCGCAGCAGGAATGCGTCAACATCCATAACTCAGATCACCTCGCAATGGGAACAACCAGGGGCTTGCCTCAAAGACCTCTCGCCTCCTCCTCTCTCTCCTCCTTACACCGCCGCTTTTTGCTCCTGGTTCACACACACACACACTTGCACACACACACTCACACTAAAAATCCCTTTTTTTGAGTCCTAATGTACACCTACAATCTCGCATCCAAAGACACACACAATGAAAATGTCAGTTCATTCATATATGCTACTAAAATCTACTCCACACACATGTCCCTAACCATGTATCTCCTCCAGTCCTGGGAGGGGGATAACAGGAAGGCGGAGGAGGTCTGGATAAAAGATGCCAAGTGTGTTGAGTACAAAATGAATAAATAAAAACAGGAAGTCAAAAAAAAAAGGATTAATGCTGCTTCTCATAAAATGTCCAATGTGAGAAATCCACGCAAGGAGGGCCACAAAAAGAGTCAGAATCCAGACTTTCTTCTCTTCTTCTCTCTCTTTCTCTTTGTTTCTCTTGTTTTGTCGGAGCTGGTTTGAAGTCACTTGAGTGTGTAACTGAGCCCGGGAGCTCTCGTCTTTCTGCCCTCTCTTGTTGTGCGTCTGTCAGTGAGCTGAGCTCCCTATCTCTCCTCTGTCCTTGCCTCTCGGAGTCTGAGCGCTGGAGCAGTGTGTTGCCTCTCTTCTTTCCTTCTGTGTGTGGCTCCCTCTCCTTTGGCCCCCTCCCTCTTTCCTTTGCCTCTCCCTCTCTCCTATCTCTATCAGCAGTGCTCCCTCTGGTTATCTGGTTAGTTTCTCTGAGGTGACTGAATCTTGTCTTTCCTTTCACCTTATTTATCTGCTGCAGTTCGCCAGATGTCATCTCTTAGTGTAATTGGATGTCTGTGAAAACCACTTGGCTTTGAAGAGCTGTGTGCATTTATGTGTGCGTGCATGTGTGTCTGCACATGTACGTGTGTGTGTGTGTTTGTGTGTGTGCGTGTGTGTGTGTGTGTTTGTGTGTGTGTGTGCGCACAGGGTTGGGGGGGGGGGCTGTCCCACCCCATTTTCTCTTTCCCTCCCTCCCCGTCGTTTCTCTGTCTCCTCCCCTTTCCAGACCAAACCCCACCAGTTGAGCAGAGCAGGTCCAAAAGAAGGAGAGAGAGTCTTTCCTTCATACCTCCCTCCTGTTGCAGTACTGTTTGGCCCATCTTTCTCATGTTTTGTCTTCTTGACTAGGGCTGGGTATTGTTTGAATTGTTTCAATACTAGTGCTGATAATATACCTGATTTTTGGATCTTCTGCTACCAATATAATACTTTGTGTCTATTCACAAAATACCTTTTTGATTTAACAAAAGAAGCCAAAATTGTGAAATGTTACATTTCTAAACTCAAGCACAAAAAAATCAAGAACGCTGCAGAAATATGATGATACTCACAAAAATTCATTTGAAATCAGGAGCTATTTGAAGAAGAGGATGAGTAAATAAGATTGATTATGACTATCCATTTAATGACACCTTTGGTACTTGACAGTTTTCTATATGCAGGTGGGCAACAAAATTATATTAAACCCAGCCCTGCTTATTGTAAGATGCCTATCTTTGTCTCTGCTACTGCTTCAGCACATATGAATTCCCTAACTTAAATGAATTGCATGAAGTAGCATTCGTTGATTAGCTGATTGGCAGCAGCTGCTTCATTCATGCTCCACATTCACTCAGCTGTGCGGCTACCAGCTGACGAGTAACATCCAGTGATGTTCTTGTAGGTGTACAGCATGGCCTTTTTAAACCGACACGTCTGACTATTACTCCCCTGATATGTCCGTGTCGACACCCTCCACCACCACGGCAACCATCCTGAGCTTTTGGCATTGTTTATTTAACTAAGATTTTATATTCGTGTACGTGTTAAGGAGGATTCAGTCTCTCAGCAGAGACTTTTCTATCCAGATCTTAACTGTAAAACCATTTGCTATAAACTGTCAGTTAATTTTTGGAAGTGTCTCTCACTGAATTACAGTCAAATAAACAACATTCCTGTCATTTTTTTTTTTTTTTTGTGATAACCAAACACTAAATCAACTAAATCAATTCCCTGATTACTGTTGGCCGCTTTTTCTGAAGGTATATTCATCAGTGAAATTGCCCTCTTTAGTGTTAAGGAGTGAAAATACTGACTCTCTGCCATCGTTGCCTATCCCAAGAGTTTCTTTCATGCACAGATGCACAGAGCAGTTTTGAGCTGAGGCAAGTTCCCTGCGGCTGTTTTGACAGATATTATCTAGCGATTTCTTTACCTGTATCGTTAGAGCTTAATGTTTAGATAAACATCTTTCTGTGTTTGGATGAAAGAAGTTGTACCTTACGTGTTTTGCTGCGTTTCAACCTTGAAGAATCTAGGTCTACTGTCTGGTTTCAGCATTGTTTAATTTCCTTTTCACATTGTCAGACAACAGCCATATCTCCGCCGCTGCCTCATCTCTTCTCTTCTCTTCTCTTCTCATTAGTTTTTCAGTTATTACTGGGACTACTGAATCCTGTCCAAGTTATTCTGCAGACAGATGTGAGTTATGATGTTCTACTGTGTTTCTTTCTGCATTTAGTTCCTCACTGTGAATCCATCATGCATTAGTACCTTTTGGATTTTCAAACTATTCCTTTTGGGGATTCATCAACTGCACAGAAATAACCATATAAAAAGAGAGACCTGTGCACCTACAGTCAGCTTGAATTTCCCCTCTGAGGTGGTTAACATAGTGAGATTTTACAGATGTTGGATGCTGCCAACAATCTGTCATTCACATCAGCTTTACAGCCATCTGTTTCCTGCTGGGGGCCTGGCTTTGCAGATGGCAAAGATTGATTTGTTGGGGAGTATTGGTGAAAGACCAACCACTGTGCAGAATGTCATGATGAAATGATGATCAATGCATAATTTTCTGCACAAAAATACTGTGAGTGCTTTTTATTTTTTCTCTGGTCTCAATATCTCTTGGGCTCTAGGACTCTAAATGAATCGATGAGTCATTTGATCCATAAATGTCAGAAAATTGTGAAACATGTCAGTAACTATTACCTAAAGCTCAGGATAATGTCTTTATGTCGTATTCAGTTCACATTTGGAATTTCTGTGCGACAAAATGACTTATAATCATGAATTTACTATCAAAACAGTTGATTTACTGTTTACACGCTGTATGTTCATATATTCAGGTAGCAGAGGACCATTTACATGTCAACGCCTGCTGATAAAATTCAGCACCACGGACAGCACTTTACGATGTGGTTCATCAACATGCCGAAACTGAAGATCCTCGGCTTGGAAATCGTAAATATTTCTTTGCGTCTTGCTGAGTTCTTTGTTTTGTTTTATACTCAGTCTTGTGTGAGGAGAATCTCTGAGGCAGACATGTACAGTACATGTACAGACATGATCCTCTCTGAAGAAGAGCTAGCAATGTTGATACACTGTGACCCATGAATGTATCAGGGTAGAACAAACCCCAGCAGTGTGGCATTTTTAGGTGTGATTTAGAGCTCATTCAATGTATGCGAGATGATATCACTCTATTGCAATGAAACAAAAACTTCATTCTTTTGTTCATTGTTATTCTTGTAGAAAATTAGACAAAAAAATAATCAGCAATGTTTTAGATAATCAATGAATACTTATAGTTAGTCATAATTATTATTGCCAAACATTCATGGGTTCTAACTTCTAAAATGTGGATATTTGTTGCTTTTTTTTCCATTATGACGCATTATTTTGTTGATTTTAATGAAACAAGATTTGAATACATCACCATCACCTTTTTCAATATTCTGGCACTTTATAAAGAAGAATATGAATTTTAATCAAGAAAAGGATCTGCAGAATTACCAATAATGGAAATACTCAGCGGCAGCCTTAAAGTTTTGTACTTGTGCGACCTTTCTTGGTCATATTTTAGAAGTCATTCTATACTTTTAGCGGGGTCTTCAGGATTGTGTTGATCACAGAGGGTTATCGATGAGCGTACTTTGGAGGTACAAAGGCAGAACTTTGGCAAAGTAGATAAAGAAATGGGAACTTGCAAAGCAATAAAAAGGGAAAGTCTAAGGGAAAGAACAAAGGAGTGAGAAGAAGAGACAGAAAAATGCCAAGAGATAGAGTGAGAAGGAGCAAGAGAGAAAAAACATCTGGTCAGTGGCTCTGTGGCTTGAATTTGGGGTGTAGAATGACAACACACACGACACACACCCACACACATGCACAAACACACAAACAAATACATATAGTATGTATCTGACCCTCTTTTTATTGCACTGAAATTTATTTTCAAAAAGGTTTAATCATGGCTGTCTTGTACTAGTAAGCACGAATCACTATTGAAGTAATTATCAGTTACTGATCAATTACTGACTGATCTCTTCATTGCCTCGCCCCGCGGTCTTGTTGTTCTGGGTAACAGTCCTAACAAGACTCAGATGTTGGAAGTCAGTCGTCCAAGAGGGAAAAAATGTTTCGTCACACCAGAAAACAATTTGTTGGATGCAGTGAAGCACCACATATTGGTTTTTTTTTTTCTTTCTTTGAACTACTTAGGAAGGCTGTAGGGGCTTCCCTCTCTGGAAAGGATTGTCACTCAGATGGTGTTGGCTTTACGTTATATAACACTTGATTTTAAAAAATTTGTTTATGATTCACTACAGTTCATTTTATAGCCACTGAACAAATATTTTGGAAATGTTACACCATAGATAACATGAATTAATAAAAAAAAAAAGATTTACTTTTATTACGCTGATATTAATGCATTGTTACAGTTGTAAGGTGCTTTCTTATATTTAAGCCGTGATGTAAAAGTTGTACCTCGCTAATAATGAATGTGCAATTTTTTTTTTTTTTTTTTTTTTTTATAGATGTGACCATTTTTCTCAGCCACTCCCCCCTCTTGTAGGAAAGAAATGAGTCAGTCTCATTGTCTCGTGGTTTTGGCTTAAACTGCCGATGCAATCTGAGGCCATACTTCAAAGTCCCGCAGAGTGGTAGTGCTGATCTAGGATCAGCACCCAAAACAAATGGCTAAGAGCTACACAGATTTTTTTTTTTTTTTTTTTTTTTTTTTTTAGATCACCAAATGTGTGCGGCTTTACGGATTCCAGCCTAGATGAGCGGACACAGGTCCCCCTCTGGCTCCGCTGGTCATGCCTTGGATAAGTCTTGATTGCTCATGTCTAGGGCAGAGAACGCCATTAGGGACCAGCAGTTTGGCTCAGAGATTCTAATTGTTTCATTGCGGTTGAGCTGGTGGCTTTGAACGCATTATGGTCTTCAAAACAGCTCTGCAGAAATGGCCCTGGCAGTTAACTTTAATTACAGACACATTAAAGCACTTGGAGACAAAAAGGAGGCCTTACGATAAGCTAACTTAGCGATACACTCCACTTAAGGTCAAGCTGCTGGATAGATAATTCTTGTTGAATGCAAACCATGAGTGACAATCCAGAGCCATTTGATTTCAATCTGTTTTTTAATTTCAAGCATGAAAAATAAAGTCACGACTTTAAATAAAGCAGCACTGAGTCCTTTTAAAGCCCTGTTTTATTTCCCTTCCCACTGAGTGCATTATTTTTGTCATTCCATTGGAATCTACTACATGCACTCGCAATGGAAACAAACACGGATCAGCGTGTTAACTGCAGCAATAAGAGAAACACGAGTAAACACCTCTTTCTCATGCAGCCTCAGAAGGTATGCCAGACTCCTGAGCAAAGAGACACGACCTTCACATTGCATAAACAAAGATGTTCTGTAACGGTGACATAGAACAATGAGACTGGTGCTTTGGTTTAAGGGAGTTTTATGATTCACGCACCAAAGTATTTCCAATGG